CGAGGCACTAACGCATTGGCGGGAACCAAATGTTGTAAAATGGCGAAATCCCGCCAGAAATGAAAAAAGCTTATAAATCTGACTCCCGAATATGTCAGTGTTCTTCCCCAAACCGCACCAACCCTAAAACCCTAGAGAAGCGATTCGACTCCGAGCTCTGATATTTTTCCCGAGAAAGACGAAATGCTGGAGCTACGTCTCGTTCAGGGGTCTTTGTTGAAGAAGGTTCTGGAATCTATTAAGGATCTGGTGAACGATGCGAACTTCGACTGTTCGAGCACTGGGTTCTCGCTCCAAGCCATGGATTCGAGTCACGTTGCGCTCGTGTCTCTCTTGCTGAGATCTGAAGGGTTCGAGCACTACAGATGCGACAGGAATCTGTCCTTGGGGATGAACCTCGGTAACATGTCGAAGATGCTCAAATGTGCTGGAAATGATGACATCATCACCATCAAAGCTGATGACGGTGGCGATACCGTCACCTTCATGTTCGAGAGCCCTAGTAAGTTCTCCGATCTACTTTGTTGGTTATGAAATTTGTTAAGGCTTCTGTGTTCTGCATTTGTTCTGATTGTATGATTCAGTTCGCTTATGGTAGTATAGTCTCTGGTTTCTAGTTGGTTACTTACTTTGAAGCAGAAGGAGTTTATATGTTTGTTTGAGGTTATCAGTGGAACAAGATCTTTAAACTTGGTCATGTTCTGTATTCATATATGTTGATACCTGTGTTGAATGATTTACAGCGCAAGACAAGATTGCAGATTTTGAGATGAAGCTGATGGATATTGACAGTGAGCATTTGGGAATACCTGATGCTGAGTACCACTCAATTGTGAGAATGCCTTCAAATGAGTTTTCAAGGATATGCAAAGATCTCAGTACCATTGGTGACACTGGTACATACACTCTACTGTTTCCCGCATTGGTGTTCTATTGTTAGTCTGTGTTGGTCTACAAGTATTGACTTGATGTTTCGTTGCAGTTGTGATCTCTGTGACTAAAGAAGGTGTGAAGTTCTCCACTGCTGGTGACATTGGAACAGCTAACATTGTGCTCAGGCAGAACACAACCGTAGACAAGGTATTGCCATGTGTAGCTCAGTTAATTAATCATCTATGGCTGATTCATAGGAGCAACATGTTGAATTGAGGGTTTTTGTTTTGTGTGTTTGTAGCCGGAAGATGCAATTGTGATAGAGATGAACGAGCCAGTGTCGCTTTCATTCGCCCTGAGGTACATGAATTCCTTCACAAAGGCAACACCATTGTCAGACACAGTGACAATCAGCTTATCGTCGGAGTTGCCAGTGGTGGTGGAGTATAAGGTAGCTGAGATGGGTTACATTCGTTACTACTTGGCTCCTAAGATTGAAGAGGAAGAAGATGCTAAGCCCTAAGACCCTTGTATCCACAGCTTCTAGCCCTAAGACCCCCCTTGATGATGATGATGTTTCTTGTGTGATTCTATTTTATGCCCCTTCAGAATCAGTTGGTTTCTTAACTTATGTTTTATGATAACTAAGTTCGGCTAAATTAGTGGTCTTTGAAATTCTACGATACATCTACAAACTTATTCCAGCACAAAAGATAAATTATCCACTAAATTTGACAAGATAAACTGTACAAGAAAAACTATATTGGATTTCATTAGGCTTCTCAACATCAGTACATAGACACCATTTCAAACTCTCCTGCTACATTTGTGTAATACAGTTA